GTGTGTGTGTGTGTATGGGAGATGTTCAGATACTTGTGTGTGTGTGTGAGAGATGATCAGACACTGTTGTGTGTGTGTTTGAGAGATGATCAGACTCTGTTGTGTGTGTGTGTGTGGGAGATGATCAGACACTGATGTGTGTGTGTGTATGTGAGTGTGTGAGAGAGAGATGATCAGACACTGATGTGTGTGTGTGTGAGAGATGATCAGACACTGTTGTGTGTGTGTTTGAGAGATGATCAGACACTGTTGTGTGTGTGTGTGTGGGAGATGATCAGACACTGATATGTGTGTGTGTGAGTGTGTGTGAGAGATGATCAGACACTGTGTGTGTGTGTGTGTGTGTGTGTGTGTGTCTAACCTGTCTCTCTCTCTCACAGGCCCTGAGGAAGCAGCAGACGGGGGTCCTGATGCCTCAGAGCTGCCCACAGAGATGCCTGCACCTAAATTAGTCATATGAATGGGTCCATGCTATGAGCAGAAAAACACAACAGCATTAACACACACCCTCATTTACATACACACACACATCAGTGACTCATCATCTCTCACACACACACACACACACACACACACTCACAGACACACACAGACACACACAGACGCATCAGTGTCTGATCATCACACACACACACACACACACACACACACCTACACAGAAGAGGAAAATCACATTTACAGTCAAACACATGAGCAGCTCCCGTCATTCACTGCAGGAACCCTAGTGAGCTGCTGTATGCTAACAGCACAGACCAATTCAACTAAAAAAAATAACAACAATAAAACATTACATATAGATATTAATAAAGGCAGCAGCTATTTACACTAAGTGCAAATAACTATAGATTCTATGTACACTATGTAAAAAAAAAAAAAAAGCAAATAATAATAATATAAATAGACACTGATTAATAAAACTAGCGTCTCACTGATTAGGACACATGCTAGATTAATGGCATATTAATACTACTGTCAGTACTGAGCGTGTCTCTTTTACTCAATGCTGCTGTCTAGTTAGGCGGCTCACTAGGGTTTGAGCTTTCATCTGCGGTCATTCATCACAAATATACTGCGAACACTTTCAGGTGCTCATCATGACCCCAGAGGTCAAAGGTCACTTCACTACAGGCTCCGCCCACAGGCCGCTGAGCGCACGCACCTGCAGAAACACAGTAGAGGCAGACGGTGACGAGCGCAGCGTCCGGAGCGAGGGCTCACCTGGTATCCCAGCAGGCCGCGGTCCGTCTCGTCTGGCACCTCCTCCGTGAAGCGCCGTTTCTGCGGAGCCGGAGCCAGCGTCTGCAGACAGAGACAAGCACTTGAGCAGATGGACTGAGACCAGCCTTCACACATTACACTTTACCTGCAGAGAAGGTAGAGGTGTGCAGGATGCTGGTCTTCATCTTTCAAATCTGGGGCATATTACAGAATGTTTCTCATCTCAGGTCTCAAGTCAAGTCACCTTTATTTATACAGCGCTTTTAACAATACAGATGGTGTCAAAGCAGCTTTACAGTATCAAACAGGAAAATAGTGTGTCAATAATGCAGAAGGACAATAGTAAACACACTTAAGATATTAGGGATGTAACGATATGATCAATATTGCGATATCAAAACTGTCTCGATGATATCGCGGTATGAAACGATAGGTCTTCCGGGCAAAAAGTGTAGTTTTTAACTTTTTATTCTAAAAGGCATAAAAGGTGTTTAAAGTTGTGTTTTGGGTCAAATGTACAAACTTTAAATTTTTTCCCCCAATTCTTCATTTGTCTTTTTTTTTCTTTTTAAATATCACAATAATATCGTACCGTGAGATTTTGATATCGTCACATCCCTATAAAATATGATACGTTAAATTAGGATTTTTCTGAAACTCGTATTACAGAAGCAAATCTTAATCTTACAAAATCCTATCTTATCATTAGGTAAAATCTTAAATTTCATCAAGTTCAACAATCCAGTCTCAGGTCTGTCACCAAGCACCCAACACTGGAGCTGCTGATGAGCTCAACAAACTGGATAAACAAAACCGGCAAGCTTTTAATGGAAATGGAAACTTTGATGAGTTCGGTAGAAAACACAAAGCCGATACTATTTGGTAAGTTTTCAGCTTCGCTCACTCACGAAGACAAAGACAAAATGTGTCTTTCTTAGGGCTGCGACGTGGATTCGTGGATCGATCTTCCGAATGCATGGCGGTCCTCTCTGGAATGGGTTCTGAGCTTATATTTTAACAGCAGATGGCGCTCTACTCTAGTTTTTATCCGCTCACTCAAACACTGATGAAGAAGAGCTGAAGAGCGCTTGTGTGTTCGGCTGAGTCTGTAATTTCACCTCGGCTCAGAATGCTTTTATGACGCCAGATTAATGTAAACACAATGTGGTCCTAACTGACATTACCAAACAGATAAAATAAGATTTTAAAGTTAGGATGTTTCTGTAATACGCCCCCTGCTTTATAAACATTTAGAAAAACCAAAACCGTGCACCAGGCTGTTGTTCATCGATTTTTCTTCTGCTTTTAACACCATAAAGCCACATTTGTTAATAGAGAAATTAATATCTCAATTTAATATTGATTTAAATGTATTATTATTACATCATTTAATTTAAACAGAAAGGCCACAGTGTGTTAAAGTCAACTATGTATTTTCTAAACGTTTAGTCATTAAGCAGAAGCTTTTATCCAAAGCGACTTACAAATGAGGACAATAGAAGCAATCAAATCAACAAAAGAGCAATGATATACAAGTGCTATGATATCTGATATAATAATATGATATGATGCTATGATATATAATATAATCTTAAGATAACAGAATCTCTATGTTTTTAGTTTTAGGTCGAGTGTCACTTACGTTTCAATGTCAAGGCCTTCTTAAAATGACAAATGAATATATATATATATATATACATATATATATAATTTTGCCAAAGGAAATAACAGGTGCATGGGGATATAGGTGAAATATATTGTGAAAAAAAGCACATTAATGTACCTGTGCCAGGACGCTCGGGAGCGCGGGGGTGATGGGATACTGTGCGGTGGGGACGGGGCCTGGGGCCGGAGCCAGAGGAGCCAGCGGATACTGAGGAGCGACGGGCTGTGGCGGAGGGACCGGGCCGGGGTAGGACGGCTGGAAGCCTGCGGGAGGGTAATACGGAGCCTGCGGCTGGATCCCGTTAACGGCAGGAGGCTGAACGAATCCTGCTGACAGACACACAGCCATCAGTCCAAACGAGCCTCCGCTCACATGACCTCATATGACAACCAATAGAAACAGAGCGCATTTAGGCCACGCCCACACCGGGGGAACAATCCAACGCTCTTCAGTGACTGTATTGCGGGAATCTGCCTCCGTGTCATTTCTGACTTATAACAAAAAACAGAGCAATGTCTACAAGCTGCTGTGTGACGAGGTGTACAGCAAACAAGCTAAAAAACCCAGAACTACGTTTTTATAATCTGTCGACCCAAAAAAATGAGCGTTTAGGACACAAATAGTTGTAGATGTCGAGGTATTTCATTCAGTTAGATCATTTCTCAAACAAAAGGAAGGTCAGGAAAAGGGGCACTGACATAGACCAATAAAATTGAGTTTCTCAGTATATCTCCTCCTCTCAGGTTCACATCGGGTGGAGAAATAAACACAGCAGCTTGTAGACATTGTTCTGTTTTTTGTTAGAAGTCAGAAATGACATATATATATATTCACAAGATGCAAAGAGGATGAGAAGAGCAGCATAATCATCACTGCCAACTGCGTCCAGAGGAAAGTAACTACAGGCCGCTCACTGAACATCATCAACCCAGCGAGTCTCAGAAACTACATAAGGTTTGTCCATTTAAAGGGGTCATGACATGGACTTTTTTATCATTTTAAAATGTTTCTTGAGGTTTACTTATAATGTTAATAAAGTTTTTTGCACAAAAAAAAAAAAATGTGTAAAAATGATTATTTTCAACCCTCATTCTCTGACTATTGGTCAATGTCTTGCTCTGGGGGCATGTTTATGCAAATGTTTGTGCCCCCATGACATCACCTTATCCCTCGAATCCCAAACAAGCCGTCTTCGGAGCTTGATTAAATAAATGCTTTGTTTATAATGAGGAGGCCGTTTTTAAGCTATGAAACCTGCAGGACGTTTTAATGCTACAAAGACCTCTTATAAGCCAAAAGATCAAGGCAAATTTGATTTCTCATGTCATGACCCCTTTTGCCATTTCAGCTTCATCTGCTATTATATGGCAGCAACAAATTAAACGCTCAACAACATAATATCATAAATATAATATAATAGAAAACAAACATTCTATAAATTTCAACTCAGACAAAAATTCTATAAAGGATTCTTTAAATGTACTTTAACAGTTCTTAAAAGTTTGTGTGTGTGTGTGTGTAAATGTGTATGTGTGTGTGTGTGTGTAAATGTGTATGTTTGTGTGTGTGTGTCTGTGTTTTACCCTGTGTGGGCATCACACTGCTCATCTGATTCAGGAATCGAGAATACTCAGCATGAACCTGCCAGAGAACAAAACACACACACACACACACACACACACACACACACACTCAGTCTTACTGTTAACTCAAACCATTAAAAAAAAAATATGTTGCCTTGGCAACTAATAGAAATAAAATGATTTAAAGCTGAAACACTAAAGTAAATAAACATTAAATAAAACTAAATATGAATAAAAAACGATGAAATAAGAGAAAAACTCCTAAAATGACTAAGTCTGAAAATATACAAATAAAATTGAATTAATAAAATACATTTACAAATTTTTTTGTAGCTTATTTCAAAAAGTGAAACTTTCATATATTCTAGATTTATTACATGTAAAGTAAAACATTTCAAAAGTTTTTTTTGTTTTAATTTTGATGATTAGAGCTTACAGCTCATGAAAGTCAAAAATCCAGTATCTCAAAATATTAGAATATTTCCTAAGATCAATCACAAAAAGGATTTGCAAAACAGAAAAGTTCAAGTTGTTTAAAGTATGTTGATTTGTGCACTCAGTACTTGGTCGGGGCTCATTCAGCACAGACTCCAGCATTAGTGAGGAGTGAATGGAAGCGATCCGCCTGTGGCTCTGCTGAGAAATTATTGAGCTTCAGCTTGGATCCACTGTTTCTCATCTTTCTCTTGAAAATATCCCATAGACTCCATATGGGCTTCAGGTCAGGCATGTTGGCTGGCCAATCAAGCACAGTAATATCATGGTCACTGTGGGCAGGTGCTAAAGTCCTGCTGGAAAAGGAAATCAGCATCTCCATAAAGCTTGTGAGCAGATGGAAGCATAAAGTGCTCCAAAACCTCCTGCTAGACGGCTGCATTGACTCTGGACTTGATAAAACACAATGGAGCAACACCAGCAGACGTCATGGCTCCACAAATCATCTCTGACTTCAGAAACTTCACACTGGACTTCAAGCAGCTCGGATTCTGTGCCTCTCCAGTCTTCCTCCAGACTTCAGACCTTGATTTCCAAATGAAACGCAACATTTACTTTCATCTGAAAAGAGGGCTTTGGAGCATTGAGCAACAGTCCAGTTGTTTTTCTGCTTAGCCCAGGTGAGATGCTTCTGACGCTGTTTCTGTTTCAGATGTTTTCCTGAAGACGTCTGAGCGTGGTGACTCTTGATCCACTGACTCCAGCTTCAGTCCACTCCTTGTGAAGCTCTCCCAAGTGTATCGGCTTTGCTTGACCGTATTCTCAAGCTTGCCATCATCCCTGTTGCTTGTGCACCTTTTCCTACCCAATTTCTTCCTTCCAGTCAACTTTGCATTTAATATGCTTTGATACAGCACTCTGTGAAAAGCCACCACTTTCAGTAATGACCTTCTGTGACTTACCCTCTTTGTGGAGGGTGTCATTTAATGAAACTCAAATGTAAATATTCTAATATTTTGAGATACTGGATTTTTGACTTTCATGAGCTCTAATCATCAAAATTAAAACTAAAAAAAAAACTTTTGAAATGTTTTACTTTACATGTAAGGAATCTAGAATATATGAAAGTTTCACTTTTTGAAATTAGCTAAAAAAAAAGATTTTTCATTGTGTGCATCAGCTACACTGCAAACACTTCAGATAAACACATGCAGCACAATAAACTGATAACAGACAGAGACAGAGAGTGAGACGCTCTTACGGTCTGCAGGAGGTTTTCACACAGGGTTTTTGCAGCAGCAAGTCCTTCTGGTTTTGGGTGACTGGAGGAACAGAGAAACTCATGAACGCTGGTGAATGTGTGTGTGTGTGTGTGAGTGTGTGTGTGAGTGTTTGTGTGAGTTTGTTCGTGCGTGTGTTCGTGTTTGTGTGTGTGAGTGCGTGTGTGAGTGCGTGTGTGTGTGTGCGCGTGTGTGTGCGCGTGTGAGTGCGTGTGTTCGTGTGTGTGTGTGAGTGCGTGTGTGAGTGCGTGTGTGTGTGTGTGTGAGCGTGAGTGTGTGTGTGTGTGTGAGTGCGTGTGTGAGTGCGTGTGTGAGCGTGAGTGTGTGTGCGTGTGTGAGTGTGAGTGTGTGTGTGTGTTAGGGCTGCACGATAAATCGCATGCGATATTTAATGCGAATCTTGTC